CCTAAGGAACCTTCTGTCTCCAATGTCAGTATATCTCCCCTTAAATAAGGGGCCCAAAACTGTTCACCGTATTCTGGCTGTGGTCTGACTAGTGTCTTGAATAATTTTAGCAAGACCTGACTTTTATACTCCACTCCCTTTGAAATAAAGGCCAATATTCTGTTTGCTTTCCTACTGAACTTGAGGCTAGCTTTTTGAGTTGTGCATGAGGACTGGCAAATTCCTCTGTGCTGCAGTGTTCTTCAATCTTATTCCATTTAAATAATGTTCAGGTTTTCTATTCTTCCTGCCAAAGTGTGTAACCCCTCATTTTCCCAAATTATATTCCATCTGCCACACTTGGGTCCACTCACCTAGCTTGACAATATCCTTTTGTAGAATGTTTCATCTTCACTTGGCTTCACATATTTGTGTCATCCACAAACTTGGCATTAGTATGTTCTAATTGATGTATTTATTAGAGTACTTGGATCACTAACTAAGCCAGTATTTATTGCCCATCCCTAATTGCTGTTAATTATATAAGAACATAATGGGAGCAGGAGTAGGCCTCAAGTTGTCTTCATTGAATAACATCATGGCTACATGGCCTTGGGCCACAATTCCTCTTTCATTCTCTTCGTTGATGGTATGGGAAACTCCCCAATAACCTTTTTTTTCACGTGCCATGGGGGCCATTTGTCCATGTCCAGTGACATGGCCCAGGAATATGACTTTGGCTTCTGCAAGCTCACTCTTTGGCAGATTTATCACCAAGCCTGCCTCCTGAAGCCAATCGAACAATTCCAATAGAAGCTCCAAATGTTCCTTCCTTGTGTGATTAAAAATCACCAGATCATTCAATGTACACCACACAAATGGGTCATCCAGAAATGACTTTATTGATGAGTCTTTGAAATTGGACTGGTGCATTTTTCATAGTAAATGGCATGACTTTAAGGTAGAGTCCATTCGCGGTACAAAAGCTGGAATTTCTTTTGCTCTTTTGGATAAAGGTTCCTGCCAGTATCCTCTGAGTAGGTCTAACTTTGAAATATAAGTTGCTTGTTCCACCTTCTCAGTACAGTCTCCTAAACATGAAATAGGAAATGAATTAGACTTTGTAACTGCATTCACTTTGCAACAGTCCACACATGATCACTGAGTACGATCTGGTTTTGGCACCATTGCTGTTGGGAGCTTCTTTTGCTGCAACTCACTTTGATTATATTGCCTTTGAGTATGTATTCAATTTCCTTTCAAACCTGTGCCAACTTGAGGGTTAAGTCGATAAGGATGTTGCTAAATTGGAACAGCATTTCGTATATCTACAACGTGTAATTAGATTGGTACTTCCCAACTTATTCCCACCAATATCCCCATGTGATTGAAATAACTCAGCTCATTTTGATTTCCCTCTGGAAGGTAACTGAATAATTTATTCTAATTTTTGCGAACTTCCTTATTGCCCAGTTTAATTTGAGGAATGGCCAATTCAGAAACATCTGAACTTGGCTCTTCCCTCTATTGTAACCAGTAACACATTCTCCTTTTGCCTTCCTTCCCTACCAAAATACCTTTTGAACATATTCACATGATAGAGATTAGAACATAGAACAAAGAACTTTACAGTGCGGTACAGGCCCTTCGGCCCTCGATGTTGCGCTGACCTGTGAAACCAATCTGAAGCTCATCTAACCTTTCTGTCTGATGTTCTTATCAAATAATTCACCTCACTCAGTTTTCTTTTGATTTTGATAAAGCCCATTAAACCTTGCCTTTAAAGGTTCACCTGTCACTGGGACTAACACTTTATCCTCACTAGACAAATTACAAGTTTTTGATCTCTTATCTGCTTCCTGTTTTGTCACATGCTGTGCTACTTTCCAATGCTATCTAGCCAACTCAACCACTGTGTAATTTTTCTCTGAAATTTTTACGTTGTCCAAAAGGTCTAATTCTGAACTGACTCATTAATTTCTCTTTAATTATTTTCAGTAGTCCTGTCACTCCTCATGCCCTAAAATTACTAAAATGGACTGAATTCTTTTGGATAGTGGATTGGCATTGAGTAGTTGAGTTACTCAGTGCAGAAATCCTAGCCTCTGATTTGCTGCTACAGGCACAGCATTTATATTGGGACAGCTCAGTTTCTGGTCAGTGGTACCCCCCAGGATGTTGATAGTGACAGATTCAGTGATGGTAACGCCATTCAATGTCATAGGGAGATGATTAAATCTTTCTCTTGTTGGAGACGGTCATTGCCTGGCACTCATTTGACATAAATATTACTTGCTGCAATGAACCCAAATCTGGGTATTGTCTAGCTTTTGTGCATTAACATCATGGACTACGTCAGTATCTGAGGAGTTGCAAGTGACATTCTTCCGACCTTGGAAAGAAGACCATTGATGAAACAGCTAAAGATGGCTGGGCCCAGGACACTACCCTGAAGAATGCCTGCATTGATGTCCTGGGACTGAAATGATTGACCTCCAACAACCATAGCCATCTTCTATTTTGTTAAGCATGGTCCAACACTGGAGAGTTTCTCCCTTAATTCCTTTGACTTGAGTTCTGGTGGGGCTCCTTGATGCCCTACTCCTGTCAAACGTTGTCCCATACACCCCATCTCTGAAGTTCAGCTTTTCGGTCCATGTTTGGTCCAAGTCTCGAGTGAGGGGTGGGGAGAATCAATTGGGAAACATCATTCAACTATTGCAGCATATGTTTGCCAAATTCAGATTGATGCCAATCCAGGATTAAAATTGCAATACTGCAACAGTGATATGCAAATCTCCTAGACTTGTGGGATGTCTGGTGTCAGTTTCATGCCACGTTGACCATGCTGACACCCCTGTTGCCAGTATAGTGTCCCAAATCATCACGGGCATAGGAACTAGTCTATTAACAAGCTTAGTCAATTCAAGATGTCTTGTACTGGGTGACATTTATGAGAGCAAGAGCCTAGTGTTTTGTGACCAAATTTGACACTTGCACCAACATAGGAAAACGGCAAAGCAGAAAAAATGCTAAATGATGCTGTGAAAATATAAATGAACAGAAGTGTGTAGTGTGAGAATGTGGGGAAATTTGATCTGTTTCTCCAATGCATGGTGACATGGGGTAAATGTTCAGTAGGTCTCCATCTCAACATGTGGTTTGGACAAATCTAATTTTATTCTTTACTTAGTATCAATTAAAGGATATCTGTAGCCTTATGAAAATAAATTTGGATTTATTTTTGACTTTGATCCACTAGGCCAGAATTCTCCTGGCTGGTCCCTGTTAAATGAGTGCTGATTTGGAATTGCTGCTGCAGTCAGTAATTTAATTGCTAGGTTGATTATAAATGAAGTTTTCTAAAAGATTGCTGTGGTTGGGTTTAAGACTTCAGATTTCTCTGTTTTGTCTGTGGTTCAACATTGCCAGATACAGCAGCTAATTCAGTGCAGTCCTGAGGGTGACCATTTAGTTTAATTTTCACTATATTTGGGCAACTGCACCTCCACTTACTATCAGTCTGGGAGTAATTTCCCAATTGGTGAGCAAACAGTGATATCAGTTAACAGACTGAAAACCTCTCTCAATGCCTCCTGGGTTTCTTGCCTCTATTTTAACACATTTATGAGCACAAAATTGTGGTGTTGAAGAAGATCAATGGTTTTTGTGGCTGCATTTATTTTCAATGCAGCGACCAATCATAGTGTTTCAGTACTGTGTCCCAGCAGCTGCTGAGAACAAAGGTTCTGCTGTGATGTATGTTTGTGTTTTGAAGCTCAGAGTTGCAAGGTTTTTAAAATGACACATTTTCTGTTATTTTGTGTTGTCAAGACCCGAGTTGGATTCCTAGGGATTGTAACACTTGTTTTTGATTTATTCTTCTCAAAAAAAAAGACCCATTTTTAGCAGATAGGTATCACATCAGGTGACATTCTTACTGACAGTAAAAAATCTCTACCTGGTAGAGTCAAACAGTCACTATGCTTCCTATGCTGTCTTTGCATTTTTAACTTGCTGCTGTCTTTGCTGAATACCTGTGTTCGGTAAAATTCCCTGCACAGTTTGTGGCTAATGCTTATTAAATATTCTAGCCCATGTAAACTGTCCATTATTTCCGTGATTACCTCCAAGCAAAATGAGAGATCTGATAAAGGACTGCTGCAATTTTTTTTCACAATGCACAACACATTATCATGACAGATACAAAATGGAATAACCTGATTTATTCACCCTTATCATTAATTCAAATCCAACCCGTGCAGGCTGAGGCAATAATAGGCTCAATCATGCTCTGTCTTATCACTCTCCAACCCACTCCCACTGCCCTCTCCCTTCCTGCCACCCTCCCCCACCACCCACGCACACACGGGCTCTCTCTCTCCCCCTTCTCCCTGGTCCTGATATTGTAGTAAGATGCCAACAATCCGTGATGAAACTCTCTGATTTGTGGTTATTGCTGGAAGGTAGAGCTGCTGTCTACAGAGCTGACTTCTGAAGAGATCAGTTTGTTGACCTCATCAGTGTACTGTATGCATGCGCAGGCCTCTGCCATTCTGTTGGTTGCTATGCACCCTTTTTTTTTGGTTGTCAGGCAAATAATATTGCCCTGCATCGAGCCAGGGTGCTCATCAACCACTCAGTCAAATGTCTGTTGTTTTCATAGTGGGCAAAGATGCAAGTTTTATGCAATTCCTTTGAAATTGTTATTGTTTTAAATCTGCAAAGTGGAAAGCTTTGTATCTAATTGATTGTATCTAATCAGGTAAAAAATGGTGGTAATGGATAGGATGAATAACCAGAAGTGCATTTGGGAGTTTTAGGGTGATATGTTCATTGACAAAGCCTTTTTATTTTGCAGTTTGGGTGGCAGTAACCACATAGCAACTGCCATAGAATGTGAGGCTTGAGTGTGGCTGTGGACCTGGCCTCCAATTTAAAACTAATTTTCTTCAAATTTTGGTGCCTTCACATTTGTCACTGAAAGAAAATTAATGCTTCATTTTTTTCCTTCCTTACAGATCTGCGATTTTGGTCTGGCACGTGTGGCTGACCCAGACCATGATCATACTGGGTTCCTGACAGAATATGTTGCCACCCGTTGGTACCGAGCACCTGAGATTATGCTCAACTCCAAGGTGAACTTTCTGATTGCTTTATTTGTAATCCTAACCCAGAGCTGACCTACTGCACTTGCATACCCAATATGTTGTGTACCTGAGTTGATGTAGAATATTTGAAATAGCGCAGAGACAGAATGAGGAATTCATCAGTATCCTCAATTTTTAGCCCTTCATTAAAAACTAAAGCTACAGCACATGAATAAAGCATCAATTTTAAGGCAGCACAATGTTTAAATTGGCCTAAGTTAGGAACAAGCGTTTTTCAAAAAAAAACTTACACCCAAATTCGAGCCTTTTTAGCCTTATTCCTTCAAATGCTCCTCAACCTAGCTTCACCAATTTTTGTTCCCTCTTCTAATTCCTATGTGATTCACATCAAATTTTGTTTGATAACACTCTTGTGAAGTGTACAACATCAAGGGAGCTGTACAAATACGTTATGAGCCCCCAACCTGTGGTCAGTTTTGTTCTTTTGTAAGCCCCAGGTCCAACTGATAGTAACAAATGCAGCAATTGCTGGAGAAACCTGGCAGGTCTGGCAGCATTTGTGGAGAGGAAGCAGAGTTAACATTTTGAAACAACTGACCACCTTCACAACTGATACATTGGTGAGGATTGACAGCCACTAGTGAATCTGGTGGATTCTGTCAGCAGTGAAGATGGAGAAACTGCAACCTCGCAGGAAGCAGCTGCTGATTAAATCAATGAAGTACGCAGTGGGAACCGCCTGATATTTTGCTTTTCCCTGGATAAATATAACACCACAAGATGTGAGAGCAAAAGCAATCCATTCAGCCATCGAGTCTGCTTCATCATTCAGGGTCATCATGGCTGATTTGATCCTCAACTCCACTTTCTTGCCTTTTTATGATCAGCACAAACTGTATCAAGAAAGCAATGCAAATGGAGTTGACACCATTTGCATCAGTACACCATGGTACGGATTTCTGTGCGATGATCCTAGATAACATGAAAACAAATGCTGAACCAGACTCAAACAACAAAGTTATGCACTGTTGCTACAAACAACGGTTGGGTGACCATGATTGCCTATAACTCAGCACAGCACTTACATTTATCATTTTCATCTAAGTTGCTGCCAGAAATTTGAGAGAATAATTAGTATTGATTTCAGAACAAGATGATTATAGAAGCCATTTGTAGAAGCTATATTGAATATTTGACACAGATTTGCGATCTGACCCAAAGTACCACTCTGAATTCTGAAGAACTGATTTCTCATGACATTCACCCCAGCATGCAGGCCTAGATTTTTAATGCTTGTAAAAGTAAATTAACTGCTTGCATTTTCATTGATGCTAAACATACTGTAAGTAAATCTCTGTAGAGAACCTGTTAGACAGTACATAACTCTAAGGGCAGGTGCTGGTATTCACCTGGCTTGAACACCTTGCAACAGAAATGAGACTGAAACTGAAAGCAGTTGAACAGATTATTTGCAGACAAGTTAAAGATATTGATATTGAGTTGAATTGTTTTGCAGTCTCAGCCATTCAACCATGCGACTTCCCCCAGATGTGATAATTCCGATGTAATTTATAAACTTCTGCAGTCCTATTGTTCATTCTGCAGTCTTAGTAATGTCTGGTTGCAGACAAGACAAAGTCTCCACAGTTTAAAAATGCTGCTTTTGTACCTTTCAGAGCATCAACTGTCAGTGAAAACACAACCTAATCATTTATGTGCTTCAACGGTTGCTGAGAATTACTGTAATTAATTCTGAATACTGAGGGCATTTTTGTTTTGTTAAAAATGAACTGTCTGTTTCTTCAATGCCTGTGAAAGTCTGCACAGCCTTGAGGGTGCTTGGTCTGTTCCTGCTGCAGGCCTTAACATTATTGCCATGGGTCATGCCTGACCCCCTCAGCACAAATTGTAAGAAGTGATGATTGCCGTCAGCTAGTTTGGTTAAGAAAAGCAGTGTGAATGCTAGATTTAATGAGATACATAGCTCAGGTACCAGAAATCAAAAAACAATGACAAATGCTGGAAATACACGGCTTTCTCAGTTGCTGATAGACAGGTAAACGAGGGTAAATTGTGCTTCTAAGTATCACCTTGACAACTGACCTCTGCTGAATGTTTGGTCTTCCTGCGTGTTTTTATCTTTTGTTAAATGTCTGAACAAAACAAGTGTGTACAACAGGTTCGTTCTTGGCTGTTGCCTTCAGAGGGGCTGGCGTCTGAGGTGAAAAAGTAGTGTTGTTCATGTACTTGTTCTAAGTGAGGAAAATTCTGACCTCAATGAGTCCGAGGAGCTTGACTTCACTCTAGTACACTAATCATATCCGAAAATTAGAATATTATGCTCAGCTCCCAATTAGTGTTGAATGCCTGGTTTTTGCTGGTTGAGCTACATTCTCGATATGGCTGACGTGCAGAAACCATGGCTATTGTTGACGCTCCAACAATTTGAATATTGAATTGGGAGTTGCATCATATTTTGACCTGACATCTGGTACTTAAAATTCCTTAAATTTGATGGAAAGTATTCGTTTAATTGCTTTTGAAATTAGTCTGTCAGAAATTTAGGGAGTAAATTTTGCATTTGATAGTTTTCAAATCTGCTCTTTCCAGGGGCCTAATTGCCCTGGAACACACATGAGCTGTAATGAGAGTCTCTTGTTAACTGTTAATAGCAGAGTTGTACCCAGCACCATTCTGTCTCAGTTTGAAAATGGGAATCGTTTCTTAAGACCTGGAATGAACTGCCTGGCAGTGTGGGGGAGGCAGATTCAATTGAGGCTTTCAATGGGGAGTTAAAATATTACTTGCAAAGGAAGAATATAAAGGGTTGCCAGGGTGGGGGTGAAGCCCAGAAGTGGCACTGGGCGAATTGTTCGTTTGGCAGAGAGACGATGAGCTGAATTGCCACTTCCTATGTTTTCTAAAAGAGAAACTGCAGACTGGCAGGCCTATTTTTTAAAAAATCAAACTGATTACTTGACAGGCTTCAAAATGAGATTGTAGCATTGTGTTTCCCTTCTGTGTACAGTTCTGACTTTGTGAGATGTTAGTTGTGCCAACAGTCACTTGATTGCTGCCTTTCCGTCCTCTGTAAACCCTAGCCTGCAATGATGGTGATTTAGGCTGGGGTGCGATTTCATCGGCATTGGTAGCATCTAATCTAAATGGCTACTTTCATTCAAGTCTAGGCATAGTCAGGCTCTTTGACAGTACAGGTGCACCCACTAAATCCAACCAGATCCTCAATCTTTATGAATTCACACCAATTGGCAAGGCAGAGAACACTAGCTAATCATTGAAAAACAACTTATTCCCTTTTTCTTCTGGACATGTCATTTTCAGCACACTGCCATTTACCCAGATAAAAAGATTAACTGCCCAGATTGAGAACCAATGGACAACCACCTTGTTCTCCTCTTTAAAAAAGAGCAACATTGGTAGCAAACTTGGAACAAGTTTCTCACTCCTTTATTTAATCATGCTCAAAACTGAGTAGTGTGTAAAATTATAGACCTCTGAAGTTTCAGATGTGTCTTTTGTGCATACAACATTTAGCTCTGTGCTTTGTGAACTTGTGACTGCCCATTTTGATTTTTTTATTACTGGACTTCAGTAGCAAGGGCAGCATGAGATTATCACAATCTCAAAAAGTGGAAATACTTAGCGGTTTAAGGATTCAGGTGTTAGTGCAAAGCTACTTGTTTAGGCTCATCTGTTTATATTTTGTGTATAAACCTGAATGTGTACTGCAGTTCTGTCTTCTTGCAGGGATATACCAAGTCGATTGATATTTGGTCAGTAGGCTGTATCCTGGCAGAGATGCTCTCCAGTAGACCCACCTTCCCAGGAAAACACTATTTGGATCAGCTCAACCATATCCTTGGTAAGAAATACAGTATCTTCTTGATATGGCTTTTATTTGTTTGACTGCTTTGAAGTCCATTCATTTCCATGATAATTCACTAAGATCTACAGTTGCAAGTTATTTGTGGGTGGACAGATTAGTTTTATTAGGATTTTTAAAATTTTTTTTCCCCCCCTTTACCCTGACATCTGATTTCTCAAACCAATTTTTTCCTGGAATGTGAATCAATGATGTCACCCCATTTTTAAGCTCAAGTGGCCCTCCTCTGTCAGCCATAGGAAGCTATTGGACCTGAAGTGACGGGGAAGAGTGCAGATGCAGCATAACCCAGCTCTTGCCTGTCCCTTTCTGATGTCCATACAGTTCCAGCAGAGTTGTTCAGTCTTGATTAGGATTGGGGAAAATCTAGCAGAATAATTTTGCTGAGCCATTATCTGTTTTCAAGTCTATGGTTTCCATTGGCATATGTGCTGCATGTAATAGTTTTAATAGATGTAGTAGTGTGGAAAATGGTGTTACCCACGTATAAGCACACAATGTATTACAAGGAGGTGTTTCCGTAACACCTCTTCAAAGCTGTTCAAGCATCTAAGTTTTGGTATTTCTGATGTACAGACTATTTGATATGGTAAACTTTTATAAATGACTAGGCCTCAAATGAAGTATTTTGTCCAATTCAGAGCATTACAGTCCAGGGCAGATTTTAAGGTCTTGGATTGAGTGTTGATATTTACGAGAATGTAGGTAGAAGAACTGGGATTCATCTTGAAATAAAGATTTAATAGAAATGTTCAAAATCATGGTGGAGATCGAGTAAATAAGGAGAAACCGTTTCAGCGGGCAGGAGGGTCAATAATCGGAGCATAACAAATTTAAACAAAAGAACCTGAAGTGAAGAGAATTTCTTTTTTACACAGTTGTGCATTTCCTGTAAAGGTGGTGTAAACTGGTTCAGTATACTTTTCGAAGTGGAATTAGGTCTGTACTTGGAAAGGAAATCTTATCAACTTGGTGAGGAAAGAGCACGATTGGGCCTTTATTGGATAATTCTTTCAAAGAACTGACAAGTAGTATACAAAAAATAGTTGCCTCCTGTGCTGTAAGATTCTCTGTTTGTGGAGGGTACCACACTTATTGTTAATCCTGTAACAACATTGTGCTTTGTTTCCTGGATTCCTCAAGTTATTTTTAATACCCATACAGTTGGTCCAGTTGAAATAAGACAATTTAGGAGGCTAATGATTAAGTATAGGATTTTGACTGCGTGTTTGTGACACAACACCTGGTATATTTATTGGCCAAGCTATCTGTGAACTGTCCTTCTGAATTCAAAATTTTAACCTAGCAAAGAATTCCAAATATAACCTGTTTGTTGGTTTTTAGGTATTCTTGGCTCACCCTCTCCAGAGGACCTGAACTGTATAATTAATGTCAAAGCCAGAAACTACCTGCAGTCTCTGCCTCACAAGAACAAAGTTCCTTGGAACAGACTGTTCCCGAAGGCTGATGGGAAAGGTAATTGTCAATACAAAGGGCTTAGTCAAGAGTGTGCTGCAGATTTGCCCGCATTGCTTAGCTTGTGAGATTTGAAGACATCTAAAATCTGAAGGTGCTGAAAACAAGTCAAACTCCTTGCGTTCATCTAAACCTGCAATCCCCTATTTTGACAAAATACTACAGATAATTGTGTATTCGTGATTTTTGCCCTCGGGATAAAGAAGTACTTTTCATATCGTATGCAAAGGGCAGCTTGCAGTGAGGCTATTACAAGAATCAAAAAACACTGATTTTTCTTCTAGATTGGACTCACTTTTTTGTGGTTTATGTAGGTTTAATTAATCAAAAGAATGAAGAAGGTGATAAGTATTTCTCAAGGAGTAACCTCTGGAATGGTGGAAAAAAGAATATCCACTTCCATTAGGACTATGACAAGTCTTTTTGAACAGAGGAGCCATGGTTGCTGGTTTATTTGACTCACTGGTATTGTCATTTCTTCCTGCTATCCATGCAAATTAAATTGAAGGCAATAGAGGTCAAAACCTGGGAACTTCCTTGCCTGTATGCTTCACCTCTGGCCCATCAGAGGTGTAGAATCCCTTCTTTTGAACCAGTTAAGTAGCATTTATTATAAAATGTATTAACATGTACATTTCTGTAATTAATGCCATATTTGAAAAAGGCAGATATGTATGAAGTTTACTCATTCAGACTGTAATGATGCACAACACTGATCCACCTCTTTGGACCTTGCAGTTTCTTGGGAGAGGCAAGGATGTAGAAAAACTCCCCAGCTAATTCAGAAACATATCCAAAAAATCCACTGACTCCCCAAGCTAATCAAACAAATCTTAAGGGAGTTGTAGTACTATACAGTTGCAAAAAAAAAACACAGCTAATTGGAAAGTTGTCATCTGTAATTGAACAGACCTTGAAAAGGAATGTCACGTTCCTACATAAAGAACTGCATTAATCAAGAATTGTTTATACTATTGCTGCTAGATATTTTCTAATCAGTCTGTTCAGAGGTGTCACTACACATCTTCGGAGCAGTTGAGACTTGAACCTGGGTCTCAGTCCAGGGGTAGAGACACTGCCATTTTGCCATGCTGCTAAACTGAAAAGAATCCAGCTGCTCGAGAAGTCGTCATACGTTCATACATTTATTTGTAGCCAGCTCGTCTCCTTGGATTTTGCACATGGTAATTCAGAGACCGTAGCCGTTTTCTTGTTATTGTTTCTCTCTGCTCTCTTATACGTCTCTATCCTTAACTTTTCTCATGTCTAGCCTTTTCAGTCGGCAGGTGGGTAACTCGCTTGGTGTATTGGGAAGAGGAGATGCAGAGGCTGCATTTCATGAGGGATAATCAGAAAATGAAGCCCTATGTGATGTCCTCCTTGTCCTCTACATCATGATTATTTTTCAAAAGTAGTTGTCTGGTTCTGTTGCTCTGTTTGTCTTTTTCAACCTTTTTAGTGCTGCAAATAAGCTGCAACAGGTGCAAGTCTGTGGGTGCAAATCCTCTATGCATGCAACATAAGTTTACAGCAGTGTGTCTTGGAAAATTGTTGTCCCCAAAATTTGTGGAAATACACAACTGACCTGCAACTGTTCAGATTATACAGTCCATTTGGCTGAAAGTTACCCACCTAGACAAAATATCAAAGCTAAATTCAACTTGTTGAGCAGTGTTACAACTTGTTGAGGAGAATTGACATGAAAAATTTCAGAAAGCATTGCAAGTGATTTGCCAGAACTCCATGGTCCAGTTGCATAACAAGTGATGTATTCACAACAATTCCGTTAGGGCTTAATGTGCAATAAGAATTTTTTCTCACTACAAATTGACCCCGTTTGGCGAACATAGGAATTGTGCAAATGGGAAGTGTGCAGATGTAAGATTTTTAATATAGATGTTTCTATTTTGTTGAAGCTTTGGATTTATTGGATAAAATGTTGACATTTAATCCACACAAGAGGATTGAAGTGGAAGCAGCTCTTGCTCATCCTTACCTGGAACAGTACTATGACCCCAGCGATGAGGTAGGACAACGTTCATTTTTGTTGAGCTCCAGCTTCTCATAAATAACCTGGGCTTTATTGTGTGAACATGGAAATGTAATGTGGGAATTGCTGCTGTGCAGTAGGATTATGGTGGCTTTTAAGGGGGTCAGTTAGCTCAGGTGACGGATTTGTAATGCAGGGTGTTGGCAACAGCATGGGTTCATTCCCGCATCAGCTGAGATTATTGGAAAGGTCTCGAATGTGGTAACAGACTGACACTATTGACTAATTCAGGAGTTCTTTAAGCAAAAACATTATTGATTTAAGGCAAAGGTGTGACTTTTCTATAAAGCAACTTTTATTTATGGAGGGCTTTTCATGTATTAAAATGTTCCAAGGCACTTTACGGGTGTGTTTTAAACCCAAATTCAACACCAAAAACATGACAGAGGACCAAAATCTTTGCCAAAGGCATAGGTTTTAAGGGATGAAAAATGGAGTGAAACAAAAAAGCTTTAGGGAAGGAATTTAGAGTTACAACCAAACCATCTAAAAACTTGGTTGCCAGTAGTGAAGCGATTTAAATCGGTGGTCAAGGTACCAGAATCTGAGAAGAACAGATACCTTGGAAAGTTATACAGCTCGGAAAGCCTAGAAATAGGAAGAGGTGAAACAGTGGAGGGATTTGAAATCAAATGTGAATTTTAAAATCAAGGTTTGACCAGGGACACACTGACTTGGAGCAAGAACACAGAATTCAGCCCCTTGAGCTTGCTCTGCTATTTAATATAATCATAGCTGATCTCACCTGACTTACCTCCACTTTTCTGCCTGCCCTCCATAATTGTTTCATCCATTACTAATTTAAAAATCTGTCTCCTCCTCAAGTTTACTCCATGTCCTGGCCTCCTCCACTGAGGTAGTGAATTTCACAGAAACATACCCTTTAAAAGAAGTAATTTCTCCCCATCTGTTTTCAGTCTGCTTTCCTTTATCCCAAAACTGTGACCTCCTTAATCTAGATTGTCTCATGAGAAATCATCCTCTCCACATCCGGTTTGTCAGTCCCTTTAGCATCTTGTGTGCATAAGTTAGATCTCCTCTCATTCTTTTAAACACCAGACAGTATAGGCCTAAACTATTCAATCTCGTCAAAAAAAAAACAAACCCCTCATCCCTGGAATCAATCTAGTGAACCTTCTCCGCCTCCAATACAACTACATCCCTCCTCAAGCAGGAACCAAAATTGTTTGCAATACTCCAGGTGCAGCCTCACTAATGCCTCATACAGTTACAGCAACACTTCCCTTTTATACTTACTCCTTTAGCAATAAATGCTAAAATTCAACTTGCCATCCTTATTTCCTGCTGTACCTACGTACTAATTTTCTGTGATACATGCACGAGGATATCCAGATCAGTCTCACCAAAGTACTCTGAAATTTCTCTCCATTTAATAACCTTTTTGTTCCTCTGACCAAAAAGGTTAATCTCATACTTATACTTATTAAAATTATCTGCCAAAGTTAGGTCAATTCACTTAACTTATTCTTATCTATTTGTAAATTTATTTTTCATTGCAGTTTACTTTCCCACCTATACTTGAGCTATCACTATTTAGGTCAGTAAGCACAGGGATGATGAATCCACAGGAATTGGTGTAAGTTAGAATGTATATAGCAAAGCTTTGTGTGACCTTGTTTATGAATTGTAGAGCATGAGGTCCATCCATTTTGGTTTAAAGTTCTCCTATGAAGTACCTCCTATGTTTCAAGTCTAGAGGGTAACCAAGGCATTGATGGGGACTTCAGCAGATGAGTTTAAGGCAGTGATGAAGTCAATGCAGAAATGTGGTCAGAAGCCCATCTCTGGGTTAGGTTATGCTCCAAGTTTGGCCAGGGGAAAAAGGTGGAGTTAGTGCTTAGCAGATGGCATGAGACCATAAAAAGATGTTATGATAGAACTGGATGTCATTGGTAAACATGTGGATACTCTTGCTGGTTTTTCAGATGACATCATCAAGGCATTATGTAGATGAGAAATGGAAGGTTATGTATAAATCCAAGTGTGTATAGGTTTTTCAAGGCCTTTGGCAAGATGCTGTATGCTTTTAATAAAGAAAAGCTTGTGTTTTGAAATGGCGTGCAGTGCTACGGTGAATCAGTTATCAAACAGCTAAAATGGGAAAACAAAATGCTGGAAACAGCAAGTTGCACAACTGTAGAGAGAAACAGTGCTAATGTTACAAATGAATTAGCACAAAACCAGGCAAGTGAGGGACAAGGGAAACAGCAAAGGTGAAGAAGGGCAAGAATGTTGGTGCTAGGCTAAAGGAGTTGGTAGAGAGTCAGTGAGAAGGAAAATAACAGGAGATGGCTTTTGCATCTTGTGAATGTGACAGAAAAAGATGGAAGGACAATAGCAAGGTTAGGGACGTTGGACAGGATCAATGAATGGCCAAAAGTGGTAGCTTTTAAGAAGTAGGTGAGAGGTCTGAAAAGGGAGGAAGCTGAATCCGTTCGGCTTTTAATATTAAATATGTAAAAATATAAAAGTGTGGGGAAGTACGGAGTAGGATGAAGTGGATAGCTCTTTGTCAGCGGATATGTGGTCTTCTAAGTTGTTTCCTCCTATTGAAAGATTCTGTAACATATTAATTTATGTTACATCTTCATGTGTGTGGGACAAATTCATAATAAATTTTGGGTGCACGTGAAATGCAGTGCTGGCTACATTCCCACAGTTAGAACATAGAACATTAGAGCGCAGTACAGGCCCTTCGGCCCTCGATGTTGTGCCGACCTGTGAAACCAATCTGAAGCCCATCTAACCTAAACTATTCCATTATCATCCATATGTTTATCCAATGACCATTTAAATGCCCTTAAAGTTGGCGAGTCTACTACTTTTGCAGGCAGGACATTCCACGCCCTTACTACTCTCTGAGTAAAGAACCTACCTCTGACATCTGTCCTATATCTATCACCCCTCAATTTAAAGCTATGTCCCCTCGTGCTAGCCATCACCATCCGAGGAAAAAGGCTCCCACTGTCCACTCTATCTAATCCTCTGGTCATTTTGTATGTCTGTATTAAGTCACCTCTTAACCTTCTCTCTAACGAAAACAGCCTCAAGTCCCTCAGCCTTTCCTCATAAGCCCTTCCCTCCATACCAGGCTACATCCTGGTAAATCTCCTCTGCACCCTTTCCAATGCTTCCACATCCTTCCTATAATGCGGCGACCAGAACTGTACGCAATACTCCAAGTGCGGCCGCACCAGAGTTTTGTATAGCTGCAATATGACCTCATGGCTCTGAAACTCAGTCCCTCTACTAATAAAACCTAACGCACCGTATGCCTTCTTAACAACGCTATCAACCTGGGTGGCAACTTTCAGTGATCTGTGCACATGGATACCGAGATCTCTCTGCTCATCTACACTACCAAGAATCTTACCAGTAGCCCAGTACTCTGTATTCCTGTCACTCCTTCCAAAGTGAATCACCTCACACTTTTCCACATTAAACTCCATTTGCCACCTCTCAGCCCAGCTCTGCAGCTTATCTATGTCCCTCTGTAACCAGTTGTATTCACTGCTTTGGGAGAATGAGAAGCACAAGAGTGTCAAGAAAGCAAATGGGATATAATAAACAGGTGGGTTTTAATGTAGGCTACCCAGAAGTAATATTAATCTGTAATCAAATTTCAGCCTATCGCAGAAGCACCCTTTAAGTTTGATATGGAGCTGGATGACCTACCCAAGGAGAAGCTGAAGGAGCTGATCTTTGAGGAGACAGCCAGGTTTCAACCCCTCTATCAGCATTCCTAAACTACAGGCGCCCTTGCATACAGGTAATCTTTCGCAGCCAACTTTTGATATAGTGTAGTAATTGGACAGTTGGCTAGAAAAGGTATGATTATTTAGATATTCAATTAAGGAAATACAAGTAATAATTCTTGTTCAGCTGAATGTTGACCAATTTACTTCAGTGCACAGGTAGGACTTCATAAGCGGTCCCAATTACTCATGTCCTGCAAAGTTTAACCCAGTTCTTAAGCCATTTATAATCACCCATATAAGAAATGCCAGTCATGGGGAACAGATTTGATTCAACTGTAAACATTCTTGCTGGCATCAAGCAACCTTATGGAACAAAATCTTGAAATTATTCTCCCTTAACACATGGACAAGGGTTTTGTTAATGCCAGGGAAATTCCATCAATCACTAGAACCACATTGCTTTATCTTCAGCATTTATTTTGGATCTGTCACTTGGATGGCCATAGGTTTACGTAACTGTTTTGTAGACTTGGATTTTCTCACCAAAGGAAAGTCTTCAGGGGGAAATTCTTTGTGCTATGGCATCAAAAGTGATTCTTCAGCACCAATATAGGATCTTAAGGTTATTCTTCACAAACCAGTAACTTCATATAACACTGGTGTGCTTGCAATTAAAGACCATTGCTGTTTCTGCACATTGATGTAAGGGAAATTCATATTCGACTGCAGCATACTATTTTGGTAGTCCATCATGCCAGTTTTAAAACAAGTTTTTTTTTTTTTTTTTGCCTTAGTTATTCAACCTTCCCAATGTTCTGTTTGACCACTGGCGTGTCCAACTTACAGAGCCCTTTATTTCTGACTTGATTAAATTGAGTGTGAATGAAGTATGACATTGAGCAGACTGCATGTCTCTCTGGTCTTTGGAAGTATGTTCTGAGGACTGCAAAGCTGGGTGTTTAGAAGAAAGATTTGGCCCAGAAAAAAGGGTTATTAGCTTACTACGTTCCTCCCCTACTTAATTAAAGTAAGGGTTGTGGGGTTAGATTTCAGATTAAGGTATATCAAAGCACTAACTATATGCCTGGAATTATTGAATGCTTAGATTTATTGACCATGTAATGTGAACCGGCGTAAACTGAAACATAGAAGCATCGAGGATAGGAGCAAGACTATTCTGTTTGACCCCTCAAGCCTGTTCTGCCATTTATGATCATGGCTGATCATTGAACACAATACCCTAATCCCACCTTCCCCAATATCTTTTGATCCCTTTATCCACAAGAGCTATATCTACTTCCTCCTTGAAAACATGTTTTGGCCTCAACCACTTTCTTTAGTAGTGCATTCCACAAGCCGAGCTGACTGAATTCTAGAATGGTTTTAAAATGGAGTTAGAATTTTACAGTGCAGATTAACAGATATTGTTTTTAAGAATTTTGGAATCTAAAACAGCATAATATTGATATTACAAGCAACGAGGAATCAGGTGAAACATTAATGATTTCAGATGCTAATAGAAACTTTCTGCATCTCTGGTTTTCTCTACTTCAGGACATTTCCTTGTCTCTATTGAAGCAATGTACATAATCTAATTTTCAGTATGTTGCTTTTCTAGGGCCAGGACTGCAGGACTGGATGTGCACAGAGTTCGTTTGTTTCTAACTCCTGAATCCTGTCTCATGCATCTCAGCTTATTCATTGTACTCTCTCTAAAATTTCTGCCGTGGCACCTGTAACGTGGAGGTTGTCCATTCTGGAAGCCATGGCGGTTGTTTTCTTGCTGTGGACTCTTTCTCAACTCGGGGGCGAAAATTCACACTCCAGCTGTATTTGTGTTTGAAAGATGTACAGCCAGCGTGTGCCCACTTAGTAATCTACATCCTATGTAACTTAGCGATGATGTTTGAAAGAAAGCAGGACTGGCATTTTGAGCTATTACACAAATTATGGCAGACATGTCTGATTTCAATAAGCACTTCAGTTTAGTTTTTTTAATGCACTTTGAGAAATATCAAAGTATAACTGATCATTCAGTATTACATCTGCTCAGTGTCTAGTCACATCAGTGACTGGTCTGTCATTTCAGATCTTTAAATGCATTGTGTGGTTTTTCTAAACCTTGCTTGCTTGTTTCAGTGAGATCTCCCAAGGTTTAATGAAGTGTTTAGATTTCCAATGAAAGGAACAATGAGACTGTAACCTGCATTCTTTTAAACCAGTGTTGCTCTGTTGTTTGGTTGTATAGATTGTGTGTACTTGTACACTTTAAAGAAGGCTGCCGTGCCAAGGTGGTTCCCTCACTAATAAGTCTTTTATAGATTTAAAAGTAAATTACTGGTGTATATCCCTGAAATATTAGTTATGTAATGTTGATGTATATCAAAGACACTGTTGTCTTTTACTCTGATTTTGTTTTAATAACATTCCTTTCAATACATTGAAAGAAACTAACTTGATTCCATTTCAGAAGCTTCGACTTACTAACGTGCATCCGAGTTTAAAGTCTTATCTGGTCCGTAAGTGGGTTCTGCCTCACATTGTCCTGCAACAGTTTTCTGTATTACACAGTAATAACTGGCTCGATCAAAGGAAGTACAAATGGAGGATGCTTTAGCTTGAGAATGTTTGATCAGTTGTGAAGGAAGCCTCTGTGAGTGGGTCTCCTTGAGAGCAACTTAGAATTCTAAGACCCTGTGTGCTTTTGCCATTTGAGAATGAAGGGTGCCGTAAAGATTCCTATCCCTTTTCTGTGTTCGCAGAGTGTTTGTGGATGAAGCCTGTACAATGTGGAGCTTTCTTAGCTATATTTGAATTCAAAGTGCAGTGCCTGATCCTTAGTCTCGAAACCTATTGTGGTGACAATTGCCTTGTACAATTACCGTGTCCAAGCATGACTGTTAAGCTTTGTATACAAAGACTGTCCAAGTGCCACTCTCACACTCACACTCTCTCACACTCTCTCTCTCACACTCTCTCTCTCTCTCTCACACTCTCTCTCTCTCTCTCACACTCTCTCTCTCACACTCTCTCTCTCACTCTCACTCTCTCTCTCTCACACTCTCTCTCTCACACTCTCTCTCTCACACTCTCTCTCTCTCTCTCACACTCTCTCTCTCTCTCTCACACTCTCTCTCTCTCTCACACTCTCTCTCTCTCTCACACTCTCTCACTCTCTCTCTCTCTCTCTCTCTCTCTCTCTCTCTCTCTCTCTCAGACTCAGATGAGTAAATCTTATTGCTTCTCAAAGCTTCATCCTAATCCTCATCGGTTTCCTCTCGGGTTTGCTTCCTGTATAAATCATGTAACAATTAGATTTGTTCCTTTCTTTAAAAACAAAATGCCGCCTTTTGCAGACTTTGTGATGTAACTGTATAGAGCACTCTGTTTCTATCATGTAACTTGTTCAGTTGGCTTTTTTGTTCTGATTGGTCTAAATACCTGATATAATAAATGGAAAAGCGGTTATGGTTAGTTTTTAAAAGGAAAAACCTTTGCAACAATAGGTGTCAAAATGTGATGTAACCGCATAGACATACCTGATTGTATTGTGACTGGTATTGGATTAAGCATATTATATATATGGACAAACTTGTAGGTACAAAGATTTATTTTGCCTTAAGTTTTTTTTTCAATGTTATATATGTAAACAAATTTTAACCTGTTAATGAATGTTCATTTTTGTTTCTGGCACATACAGCTCTTGTAAAATTCTTTAAATTGGTGTCTCCCTGCATCTTTTAAATACAGTATGTTCTATACACAACTTCCCAGTGAGTGCACAACTAATCTCTTTATTTCTGTTAATTTCTATGTTGCACATATATATGTCCATCAGACTTAAGATTTTTGTTTTCTGGTCTCCTGCATTTTGTAATGAAAGTGAAGGGTATATGCAGTCATTGCTGTGTTATGTTTGCTCTTGGCTGAAGAGAGTCAGGGTTACTAAAACATCAGCCATTTGTGATCAATACTGACCCCAGCCAGACCTTGCAATGATGTAATGCAGCAGCTCGTAGCCTGGCAATAAAGAAGTTTCATGTGCTAGAGGGTTAGCTGAAAGAAGAGCCAGCTGTGACCCAAGTACAGTTTTGACAAATTGATTTGGGGTGGGGGCAGAGACACAGCTATTTAACTGACTTAGTTGGTCACACTGGAGAAGCCATGGCCTAGTGGTATTATCGCTGGACCGTTAATCCAGAGATCCAGGTAATGTTCTGGGAATCTGGGTTCAAATCCCACCATGGCAGATGGTGGAATTTGAATTCAATAAACATCTGGGATTAAGAGTCTAATGATCACGAATCCATTGTCAATTTTTGGAAAAACCCATCAGATTCACTAATGCCCTTTAGAGAAGGAAGCTGCCATCCTTACCTGGTCTGGCCTACATGTCACTCCAGACCCACAGCAATGTGGTTGACTCTGAACTGCCCTCTGGGCAATTAGGGATGGACAATAAATGGTGGCCTAGCCAGTGATGCCCTCATCCCGTGAATGAAGAAAAATTTACACAAGCACTATTTGATATGTTGGACATAGTGTCAAGGTACAATTTGTCAATTTAACAAGTAAGCTGTATATAAGTGGAATGTTTCTGCATACTGTCCTGAGGTCTGATTATGCAATTAGGCATTGTTCCATCTCCAATGGAATGTATAGTGAGGAATCAGGAGATTGCACTTGTACAGTAAACGGGGACAATTTCTGTTCACGATAGTGAAGCTTCAGTTTAAAAAGGAACTTTTGGATGCTGTAAAGCTTCTACCACCAAGTAGAAGTTGTTTCCATCTTTTCCAGGCAGTCAACCAATTACATAGAATCCCTGGAATGTGGAAGCAGGCCATTCGGCCCTTCAAGCTTCACCAACCCTCCGAAGAACACCCTACCCAGACCTACCTTGTTACATGGTAAGTGTGACCCTGCATTTACCATGGCCAGTCCACCTAGCCTGCACATCTTTGGACTGTGGGAGGAAACCAGAGTACCTGGAGGAAACCCACGCAGATACAGGGAGAATGTGCAAACTCCACACACAGTTGCCCAAGGTTGGAATTGAACCCAAGTCCTTAGTGCTGGGAGGCAGCAGTACTAACCTACTGAGCAATACTAAGAGCAGAATGGAGGGATGAGAAGGTAATTCACTTTTTCCCCCACAAGAATCCATGAATTAAAATAGTTTACAGATTGATTACAATGTTCAAAAATGTTTAGCGTGACAACTCAGTGAAAACCTATTTAACAGAATTCTATTTTTTAAAAAACTATACCTTTTTTGATTTATTCTTTTTTCAATTGAAATGTTAGTTCATTCTGCAGGTATGTCATAACGTCTGCTTGTTGCTTTGCCTGGGTCACCACTTCTCAAGTGAGCGGAGTTGGTCAGTATCCTTTAGCTGAAGGAGGGCAGCAGGTACAACCTGGCGATCTATTTTGTTGGGTATTTTTCTGATCCCCATTCCCCAGAGGCACTGACACATCTGGCTATAAGTGTCATTTATTGAATGAACATGTTGGCCAAAGGGTCAGTGACCAATCTGTTGCTTTTTACCAATCTTGTCTTCAGCTGACTACAGTACAAACCTGACCTGGTTGTTCCGTTTTAACATGTTTATAGGTTGCTGCTGAGGCCAGGAATTTGTCACCTTTGTTTGCAGAGATGGTTGGGAAGTGATCGCTGGACTAATTATCTGGGAACCCAGGCTCTCCACTGTAGAAACATGGATTTGAATCCCACCATGGCAAGTGGTGAAATTTGCATTCAGTAAAAATCTGGAATTAAAAGCTACTCTAATGATGACATGAAATCATTGCTGATTCTTGTAAAAGCATTCTGGTTCACTAGTATCCTTAGGAAGGGAATCTGTCCTATTCTGGCTTAAAGTTACTCCAGACCCACCACAATGTAGGTGACTGTTAACTGCCCCCTGAAATGGCCCTAGTAAATCACTACATTCAAGGGGCAATTAGGGATGGGTAATACTAACCCATGCAGTGATGGCCACACCCCATGAACAAATAAAGAAACAGACGGCAGTTGTTCGAGAAGGCAGCTCTCTTCCACCATTCCCAAGGGGAATTAGGAATAAGCAATAATATGCTGGCCAGCCAGCAAAGGCAAATTTCGCAGAGTGAATTTGACAAAAATATTGACATACAAGAGCAATTGTTGCTTGTGGATTTTGCACAGTGGTCAAAGTGGACAATGAGGGGGAACACTCAATTTCTGTTCAATGTAACTAACGAAGAATAGTTCTGCAATTACTGATATCTTAGAACTGTTGAAACTGGTCTACAATTACAAAAGAATTGCTACCTAACTGTACCAAGGTTATGAACAATGTAAACTCGGGTGGATGAGTTGATGACTTTTACCTCTTGCATTAACTGGTGAGAACCAGTTTGGCTGGAAAATAATCTAACATGCAAATTTCTAAATTTAGTCAGTGAACATATTAACACACATCCTCATCCAATTACCTTTTATCTCATCCGGTCAGAGATGCCTAAATTGCTGAGCCCACCAACCCAAGAACCATCTGGGTGGTGAGCAACAAGAGTAAAGTTTTTACAGACTGCTGGTTAGGCTGCACACAACCTGGAAAAGGTAATCCACTGCTGCACATTTTTAGAGTCTTTCAAATGGATACTATACCGGAATGTGGTTTAAGGTGACCACCAGGGTTGTTTAAGTGGGAAGTTAAGGACTAACATCATTATCAGACAATGCAAATAAGGGGTGTAAAAATTCAAGCCATCTATTTTGTGTCTCACTAATGTCTGTTTCAATGACCTGAAGCGATCACAAACATGATTGGAAGGAAGATTATTTCTCTAGCAAAATGCAGTAAGTAGGGAGTAGTTGTATAGTACAAATTATATGCATTATATAATTATATGCATTAATTCAGCCCTGGCTGCTTGCAGCAACATAGTCTCTAGGTTTCACAATCCCTATTCTGTTGGACATTGCTATCACTTTATAGACCCCAAAAGAATTGTCCCAAACTGTTTAGTACTGTCACAGGTCTTTGCATTGCTAAATTAGTCATTGTTGAGCTAGTTTTTAGGCTGTTAAATACTTGCAGCAATGTTAAACTTGACTGTCAATGTTCTACTGCAGAATGTCAATACTTCTCATTTGTGAATTAAACGATTGTTTAAACATTTGGATCTTTGAGTCAGATGTACCTGAGGAGAAAAAGAGACCAAGTATGTCTAGTTTAAGCAGAAGATTGACTTCATGTGCCCAAAGCATGTGATTTGATCAGAACATTCAACTAAAATTCTAACAGTAGGCTGCTCCTCAGCTGGGCTTCATGTCACATTCTCTACTCATCATCACGAGATATAAAGCTCTCTGAAACTTGACCTTCAAGTGCTAAGAGGATTTTATTTTAAGCTTTGACAACATTTGGCGATTCCAAACTACTCGTAGCACAAGCCTCTTTTGACTTGTATGTTTGCACATGCCTGAAGCTTTTGTTCAGATTAGACATTGATGGGCAACTTTAAATATGAAGATTTAATCAGTGAAATAAAAATCATTTGGTCTTGAGTTGCTTTGACCTGTTTACTCAGCTTGATGACTTAACAATTTCTACTCCAATTTCAGAGGCAATAGGGAACGTTGCATGCATTTTGTAGAAATAAAATTTTAGTCCTGTGACCCTCCCTCAGAACTAGGTGCTAGTTCTGAGGCAGGGTCACCAGACCTGATTTTTATTTTTCCTTCACAGATGCTGCCAGACCTGCTGAGCTTCTCCAGCAACTTCTGTTGATGCTTATCTGGGTTCATTCCTGGAGACAATCCTCAGACCACACAATCCTGTGTTTTGGAGCTGCTCAGCCTGAACCTTGATCAAAAAGCAGTGCATCTCTTTCCAGACGTTCTTTGCAAAGGCATGTGCCAAGGCGGGTGTGGGACTTGGTGTTTTCCTCAGTGCAGCCACCTGGTGGTGGTTCTGTGGAGGGGGTGTTTGGGAGAGCCTTTCTCACGACCAGTCATGCTTGCTGTTAGTACTGGTTTGAAAGTCCAGAGGATGACCGTAAGATGCGATATTTCAGAAACTCATTTCAAGACCACCTATTGTCCATTCATGTTTTATTTTTGCTTCTGCTTTAGTTCTGTCAGTGATGGTTACCATTGCAAAATTTAATGGGAATTATTAGCAAATCACTTTAACAATCCTAAATATTAACAACAAATCATGAGAGCAGGAACTGTGCCTGTGGAAAGGAACTATGCTTCTGTGCAAAATAGATGCTATCGCATATACAAATCACCGATTGGATTACAAATTCACAGTTGGTTTTGTATCTGCCAACATACTCTGCTTTTAACCAGATTTTCCCATCTTCTTGAGCTCCCAAAAAAAATCACATTCTCATCTCGAGCGGTGGAATTTATAGCCTGTGTTTGTGCTGGATTTACTTGTTACAGGTTGTGCTTATTGAATGAAGGCTTGTGAGAATGTTCTTGCTGGTGACAGTACGGGGGAGGAGTGTCACAACCCGGAGCCATCTGTTTGCCTGCAGTGCCATTAGTTTCACATCTGCTTTCATCTTTCTTTTCAAACACTGCACAGTGTTCTCTCCCCTCCTCTCTTTTTGTAATGAAGGTCAGCGCTCTCTGTGTAACACCAGCACTGGCTCTGGTTGGGAAGCACACTGCTGCAGAATATGCTGCCGTTAGCAACTCAGCCTCGGTTATTTAATCTAGTGACAATTCCATTTTGCCCCCCCTTTATCTCTTTCACCAACGAGGACCAGCTCCCCACCTCACCCTCACACTGAGGTGAATTCAGTGATTGATTCGCTTTTATCATTGCAATGGGGGATAAACAAAATTCCACATCCGTTGGTGAATTTCTTGGGTCGTAAACCTGTATTTTGGGGCACATTATGGAAAATAATCAAACCCTGGAATATATAAAGTTGGAAGCTAGTATCCTTGTTGTCTGTCCATCTGTATTAAAATAGTATGTCCCAGTCTGTCACATCACACAGCCAGACGTGATTGGAGGCTTGCAGCTGAATTCTTCAAAAAAATATTTTTGAAAATAAAGCAACTTGATCCATATTTGGATATTTACAACTATCTCCCAATCTGTAAACTCCCCTAATTAGACAGCAACTGAAACTGAGCTGATCTTTAGTTAGATTTCATGCCCTTATACTTACAGGCCATCTCACACAGTTTCACCTTGGATGGGCCATTTAATACATTTTGCATTGTGATACATAAAAGCACACCTTCCATTGTACAGCCATGCTCGTGGAATGCTAGATATTACAAAGATACATAGTGAAAATCCGGAAAACCCTGGCACTCTAGCAGAGGTGGTTTCACCCTGTTCCTCCAAGGTGCTCAACTGGTTTTTACCTACATTCTTACCTTTCTATTGGAAATTCCCTTTTTTATTTGTGGAAATTATTTACAGTTAAATTGCACTAAGTTGGTAAGAATGTTAAATGTAGAAGCAGAAGTAGGCCATTCAGCCCCTCGAGTCTGCTCTGTTACTGAATGAGATCATCGCTGATGTAACAATCCTCAACTTGACTTTCCTGCCTTGATTCCCTTCCTGGTTAAAAATCTTTATCTCAGCTGTGAATATATTTTTATCTCAGACTGCTATAGAGGCTAGGTCATTAAGAAATCCACATATTCACAACCCTTAAATGAAATTCCACCTCATCTCCATTTTAAATATGCAACCCCTTATTCTGAGATTATGCCTCTGGTCCTGGATCTGCTACAAGGGGAAAGAAACTTTCTGGATCTACCCTATCAAAACCTCTAAGAATCTTGTACATTTCGATAAGGTTGCCTCTCATTCTTCCAAACTCCAATGAGTACAGGCCCAAATTACTTAACCTCTCGAAGACAATTCTGTCCATGCCCATTATCAGAGACATCATTGGACAGCCAGAGACTTTTTCCTAGGGTGGAAGTAGCTATTACGAGGGGGCATAGTTTTAAAGTGAGTGGAGGTAGATATGGGGGAGACATCAGAGGTAGGCTCTTTACTCAGAGTGGTCGGGGTGTGGAATGCATTGCCGGAGAGGCTAGTGGAGTCGGCCTCATTAGGGGTATTTAAGCGGCTATTAGACAGGCATATGGATGCTAGTAATAAGGTAGGGGTGGAGGTTAGATAGACCTTAGGTTTAGGGTAAAAGTTCGGTGCAACATCGTGGGCTGAAGGGGCTGTAATGTTCTATGTTCTATCAGCCTTGAGGAACTTCTCTGGACTACCTATAACACTAGTATGTCCTTTCTTAGACAAGGGCCTGGACTTTGTTCACAGTATCGCAGGAGTCCAGTTTGGATAACCCAGAAATCCAATTGTGATGAAGCTGTCAATCATTCCTGTTGACAGAAGAGGAGATCCGACAGAGGATCAACAATGCCTGTGATAAATTGAAGTTCCCAGCTGGTAACTCTGGATTATCCAAATCATAGACCACACCAACTACTCAGTGGAGTTATGTCACACTAAAGTGTGAAATCACAGGCAGGTATCATTCCATATTGAGATCTCTCTTTGGAAAGATGTTCTCACTAAACCTGTGAGAAAATAAAAAGTGCTGTTGATTGCATCAATGTCACTTTGTCTACAGTGAGTGGACAACTATGGAATGAAAAGCAGGATTTGCTAAGGAGTGGGAGATCCTATTACCTGAACCATTCACCAATGAAACAGAGGTATTCTCTCCAGCAAGGACAGGATCAGAACAGCTGCCTTTTTTGACATCAAAAAGGCTCTATTAATATAGTACAAGGCAACCTGCATAGAGAACAGCCCATTTCTGGCCCAATCCTGGAGGAAAGGGGAATGACCCTGTTAAAGAGGCTGAGCCACAGGGAATTCACCTGCAGCAATGGCTTGCAGTGCTGATCCAGCCTTGGCTTCTGGGTCCAGGACTTGGTCCTGGCCCAGTTCCTGACCTGAGCACAGCAGGACCTTTAGAGACTGGGAGTCTGGTTATTTGTACCTTGATGCCCACTTGATACCTACCTCTCCTGGGCACTGGTGGGACTTGCCTTCGGGCAGTAAACTCAAGGGATACTGTGCATAGTTCTGCTCTTGATAATACAGAAAGGATCATATGTCATTTGAGAAAGTGTAGAAAATATTTGAAAGGGAAGAACCTGAACTGAGGGGTTAATTATCAGGGAAGAACAGCATTTGCTGGTGCTCTCTTCTCTTTAGAGAAAAAGGCAGAAGGGAGATGTGACAGAGTCCGTTAAGGTTATGAAAGGATTTGATAAGATTGACAGAGACCTGGAATTCAAAACCAGAAGTCATAAGTATTAGAGAGTCATTAAAATAGAGTGGTGAGAATGTAGAATTGGCTACCGTAGAGATTCATTGAGGTGAGTAGATCAGCTTGTAGCAAATTATATTTAAACAGTATCAAAGACCGTAGGAGACTTCAGGAAGGCAAACATTGACATAGGAAAATGTGACAATTGAAATTTAATTCAGAGGAATGAGAAATTTTTATTTTGGAAGGAAATTTGAGAAAAGAAAAGGTGACCACAACTGAACAGAGCAATTGTGAAGTTGGCCATAGCAACAAAGGTTCATAGGAATTTACATACACAAGTCTTTGAACATGGCAAAATAAGCCGAAAAAAACAGCTTAAGGGATTCTTGGTGCTCTAAATTGAGACATAGTGTAAACAAAAAGGTTGCGCTGAATCTTCATTAATCCTTGGTCCAGCCCCAACTCTAGTATCGTGGCCAATTCTGGCCATTCCACTGTCGGGAGAAGGTCAACATTTTGGGGCGAATGCATAGAATATCAAGTTTGAGGGACAGTGGGGATATGGAGACCGACCATAGAGAAGCCTCCCTTTAGGGCAGAGAAGTTCAGGGAAGCTGCAATTGAGGTGTTTAAAATTCTGAGAGGCTTTGACAGGTGTAACCAAGTGAAACCTGGTTTCCACTGACTGGAGGTTTGGGAACCAGGAAACACTGATTTAAGTTAAAAGACAGACATACAGGGCAGTTAAGGAAAAATACTTTTTTGCTACTTGTAGTAGTGGTCTGGAATGTGCTGCCTGAAGGTAGTGGAAGCAGATTCAGTAGCTACTCTTTGAAAGTAAATTGGATAAGTAGTTGAAAATGGAAACATTTGCAGAACTATTGGGGAACAGCAGCGAAACAGAACTAACTGCTAGTACTTTCAAAAAGCCAGCACAGCCCAGGTGAGCATAATTGTGTAGAAAGATGTGCCGATAGTGTTAGATTAATTAGAATGAAAACTTGTTCCTGTGGAGCAGAGCATCAGTTTTAACCAGTTGGGTAGAGGGTTTGTTTCTGTATTGTAAATTTTGCGTAAGGTGTTAGGTATTATCTTATAGGTCTCTTTACCGATGCACTCACAAGCACTTTATATTTACTAATACCACATTTTCATTCATTCATAACTCTTACTAACTCACTCACCAGTGCACTATGTTTACTATACTGCGTTTCATTCATAAAACCATGGTTTTGTAGTAAATTTTACTATTACAATATAGACTAAATTAAAACATCCCTTCCAACC